ATAACTTTCTGTGCAAATCTTGTGGGCTTGACTGAGCTTGTAACTCCTGCTCAGACATTTCTTAATTATTTGAGTTTTGATGTTGGCTAGGTGGAGCAGCATAAGATTGTAAGAATCAGATGTGTTCATAAGAAATTGACTTAATACCTTTAGTTGCATTTTTTTTAAATGATGGAAATCTAAGGAGAAATTCCTTCTAGCGAATTTTTAAAAGGCACGCTACATTGGTTATATACTCTCACCTATTGAAATTGAATCCTTAGAGTAAATTCATAACTATTTTTATTGGTTTAGTGCTAGTAACTATGTGGCACTTAAAAGAGTGACAAAAAGACAAATCCTTGTTTCTAGGGAGATTACAATTTAAATTTGACAGTGGGAAACAGAGGGAGAGATGAGGCTATCAAGCTTTATGAGCCACTACTGTTATGTGTGCTTAAGGTTGATTATCACGGTCATAATTTCTTTGTGGTGGTGGGAGAGATGAGGAGAGTGTTAAGAAGTAGGTTGAGGCATACCTGCCTAATTTCAGATGATGTAAGCAAGGTAGAAGCAGCATCTGTTCGTGGTGTGATGCAAGGTGTGACTTGGTTTAGTTTATTTATGCTAAAAACAACAATCCTGTGTTCCTCCAGAGTGAAAAGCTGAGACAGGATGCTGCGTTGTTAGTCCTCTGATGGCTAGTTGTCCTGTAGTTTACTGCATAGCATTTGACTCTGTTTCAACATTCAGCACAGGAAACAGCTCGGTTGGTTTTTGACATGGAAGGCGCCGCTCTTGTTTACAGTTACGTTAAAAGCTTGGTTTAGGTAATGGCCATTCATATCAGAAATAGTACTATTATTATTAGTCATTTCCTAGAGGACTTGTAGATACAGTAAGTAGAGTTGTACCTAACTAACTAATTTTATTTTTAGTAGCTCTTTTTTTCTGTTGGCTGTACTTTAAATAGTTGATGGGGATATGCAACAGGTATGGATTTGCCATGTGGATCGTGTAAGTCTGAGAATGGAGACAGTTTTAAGCCATTTCCTCCAGATTGGAAAGTCACAGCTCCGTTGCACCAATAGCACGTACCTTACTGTGCACCTTCTCTTTCTTGCGTGTGCGTGCATCACTTTTTATAAAGTGGCAACACAGACTAATTTGTTGTGCTGAAAAAAAATCATAGGATGAGATGAGCACACGGTTTAGCTTCATCAGCCTCCCTCCGTAGCCTTCCTTAGTTTCTGTACTTAAAAAGTAGCAATTATTATTGTTCCCTCACACTTAGAACTTTGAGGAGGATTGACGGAACGTTTGTAGAATTGTTCTGTACTCCTCAGCCCAATTCTGAAAATTTTGGGCAACTTAATGGGAAATCTATACCTGTTCTATTTCTCTGTAGAAATATATCTAGCCAGTGATGAATATAAATGTAGATAATGTTAATCTGTATGAAAGGGATAGCCTATTAGATGAAGGTTTTAATGAGTTTTCTCTGTATGATTCATGAATTATTACAGTGTGGTATATAATCACTCATTTCTCAGATTTCCTTTTTTATGAATTAAAAAAAGTAAGTGGAATGACATAAAGGGCACCAGTTGAATGAAAGCAGCTTGAAAATATTCTGCCTTCCCTAAGCAACAAAGGTATTCTTTTCATCCACTTTCAGCAGTTCTGATCCTAGTCCACTACACAAAAGTTTCTATTGAGATTCAGCTCTGGATTGCAAACAGTGGTTAAAAAATAATGCAATATGCAAGGAGTTTATATAGTTGAAACGGCAGGTAGATTGAGTACCTATCTTGTGAGTCTACTCACCTGTAACTACTTCCTTGGAACTTTTGAGTAGATGCTTAAGACACTTGCTGAGAAAGATTTGGTCCCATGAACTTAGTTATTGCCCTCTGCCCTTCCCCACCCGTTGACTTGAGACACATCTAGAACCAAACCTAGACTCCATTACCAGTACATTGTTTATGATTTCTTGAGTTAATTCTTTAATTAATCAATTTAAAAGCCCTTTTTTTCCTAAGCGTGACAACATGGGTGCACATTTATCTGCCTTGTTCAGTTTTTTCCTTTATCCTCTGGTTGTGTGGGCATGCTCCTTATCTTGGAGCATTTTGATTTTGTCTGGCAATTCCAAAATGTTTCAGCCAGCATCTGGAACAAAACAGATTGGAGACTGATACATCACTCCCCTACAAGTTTACTAGAAAAGTAGTTCATTGTATGATTTGTTTCCCTGCAAGTTTATGGAGGACTGCAACTTTTAAGAATCTATTTTATTAGCTCTCCCTATATAATAATTGACAAACCATCACTTTTTATTTACTTGACAGTGATATATCTGCAATTTTAGCACCTTGAAAGACAGGAGTCTGTTTTTAATTAAAGATATAGCCTAAGAATTTTTCAGTTTGGCTTCAAGTTATATATGTATATATGTGTGTGTGTGATTGGATTAAATCATTTTTAAAAACCAGGCAAACGTGCTTTAATTAGGTAACTCTGCTTCATAGAAAGTTAGTGTTGGATTTCAAGGCCTCACTCAGCCATGGAAACTCACTGAGGGATGACGCTGGTAAAACCACTTCTTAAATATCTCACATACCTTGAAAACCCTAGTAGGGTAACCAAAATTCAGATACGACGTGATGGTTCATACCCCAATATGTTCTTGTGTGTTGAGAATTTCAGCTGTCTTTTCACGCACAGCTTCTTTCTATATGACTTGTAAAAGCTAAATTAGAGATGTAGTCATACAAGCAAACACACTTTTCTTGTTAGGAACTTTGGCTACAAAGAATTCATTTAAAACAAGCAGTTGCTCTGGGTTAAGCTTTTTTTTTTTTTTTGAAAAAGAGTACTCTTAAACTATGAAAGTATTAACACTGAAAAAGAAAATAAACACAGAAAAGCCTGAACATGGTATGTGCATATTGAAAAATCGGAGGGTTTTATAGGTTTCAGCCTTGTTTACCAAAATGTTCATATTTTTAATATAAGCAGTCTGCAGACTATGCAAATTGTGCATGTTGTCCAAGATTTTATGGCTGAATTAGGGTCAGGGAGTTCCTATTTCTAGTGATTTTCTTAATTTTTTATTTTAAAAAAATAGCAGTGTCTTGTTTGTTCACAGAGCCCTCTGGTTCCATCACTATTAATTATTTCCCTGATAACACTGCCACTCCCTACCCTTATGTTAGTTGCCCTATGAGATTCTTGCACCTGAGAAATGAGGGATTAATCAGTCAGTGTAATATTTCTGTCTGATGATGTTAAGAAATTGTACAAATTATGTTGCTTTCCCTTTTTTTTCTCCCCTCCCCAACAGATTGACCCTAAAGTAGCATTTCCCCGACGAGCTCAGCCTAAGGTAAGAAAGAAGGTTCACTTCTGTTGCTTTCTTTTTTTAAAAGGTGCATCGGGAATCTTATTGTTGCTGCTCTACAGGGCAGAGTTCCAAATAAGGAAGGGATTTCAGGGTTCCTGATGAACAGAGAGGATTTTGCAAAGATGGCTGGGACAGTTGGCTTTGGCAAGACCTTGGAGACTGCAGGAAAGCCGTTTTGTGTGAAATAAGTCCTGTTTCCAGCGTAACTATCTCCTTATGGAGCTGTATGTGTCATTGTGCATCTGGCGGAAAGAACTTGGGGTGAGTGGGTCCTCTCCCCTCTCCCCTCTCCCCTCCCCTTCTTCTGATATTAATGGCAGAATATTATGTGAATGCCTGTGATATGTTGACAAAGCTGATAGCTGGTCTGCTTGTCTGAGGTTGAGATCTTCCAAGTTTCTTTGCGATGAATGAAAGGGGGAAGTTGTCCTCTGTTTATTTTGTTGTTGTTGTTCTTGTTTGGGCAAAGGAAAGTTGCTGCCGCCTCTTCCCCCTGCCATCACTTCAGTGCCTAACTTTCAGGGGGGGAAAAGTGCTACTTCCTTGGCAAACAGTGGGTGAAGAGAGAGTCTCTCTGGCCGATATTGGAAGGTCTGAGCTATTCCAAGAGCTCCAAAAGAAACTATGAAACAAAGAGCCTTAAGTTTGATTGGATAAGTGACCTGTTCTCTCTCCCCACAACTGCCCCACTTCCCCCACCCCGCCAGCTTCTTCTTTAGGGCTGCCTCCATGTAATGCATTTGGTTGCTTGCAAGGACATGTCAATCATGTTCAAAAGAGCTTTTGTCTGAAGGCTACCTCCGAAAACAAAACTCGGTACCCAGATAGCTGTGAGGCTAGCTTAGCTGTGGGGCCAGTTTTTGAGTTTCTCTCTCTCTCTCTGTGTGTGTGTGTGTGTGTGTGTGTGTGTTTTCCCTTCATGATGTGGAAGGAATACTTTAGTCTGCACAATGTCTTTTTTTCTTTTCTTTTGAAGGCCAGGGTGAAATCATTTTTCCTCAGTTGAACATGGGAACTTCTAGCTCTAACAGGCACATCCCTTAGACTGTTCCTGGAGCTGGACTAATTAGTCCATTTGAGCATGGAACTCCTAGTTAGTACTTGGAGGGGAGGGGCTAGATGTGACAGTTTCTTTTTGCAAGAGGGTATGTTGGGTTTAGGTTCCTGTAAAAAAAAAAAAAGAGCAGAAGGAATGAAGGATTCATTAAATGCTGTAGAACTATGGAGCAGAGGAGGCATGAATTGGTTAGCAGAGGCAGGGGTACAGTGTTAGATTAGATGCAGCCTACTTCATAAGCTGTGGGGAAACACACTGCCTTAATTTCCTATAATTTATGTGTACAAATAGGGATGGAGTTGGGTTTGTTTATTAGAGTCAAGCATTTGCTGTTTCTGCAGAGTTCCTTTAGACTTTAGGGACGCGGTGGCGCTGCGGGTTAAACCGCAGAAGCCTCTGTGCTGCAAGGTCAGAAGACCGGCCCTCATAAGATCGAATCCATGCGACTGAGTGAGCTCCTGTCGCTTGTCCCAGCTCCTGCCAACCTAGCAGTTCGAAATGAATGCAAAAATGCGAGTCAATAAATAGGTGCCACCTTGGTGGGAAGGTAACAGCGTTCCGTGTCTAGTCAGACTGGCCGTGTGACCACAGAAACTGCCTTCGGACGAACGCTGGCTCTGTGGCTTGGAAATGGGAATGAGCACCGCACCCTAAAGTCGGGCACAACTGGACTAAATGTCATGGGGAACCTTTTACCCTTTGACTCCTTAAAACACACGCACGGAAACAAACATTAAAACCTTCCTCTACCCTTCCCCTTCTATTTGGGGGAGCATGAGCTGCAAAACCTTTCCTAAATTCCCAAGGTTTCCATACTGACCTGTTCAGTCGTTGTTTTTGTGTTCTGTCCATTTGTTAGGAAGAAAGATGATATGTAAAGAAAAAAAAGATATAACACTGCATTTCAGAATCATTCTAAGACATTTTGCTGCCTGAGGAGGGACAGAAAATGACATCCCTTCCGTCATAGTGATGGTCCATAGTGCCCAAAGCCAACCAAGTCATTTTAGTATCTGAGGCTGAAAACTCCATAGTGACCATCTCCTTGCCAGTAAAAAAAATAAAATAAAAAAATGCAATAATAAATTAACAGTTTTCTGCTTTTGCATGATACCCCAAACCTGCTGTTCGAGGTACTGCTTCATTCTGCTGAATGAAAGGTTTGGCCCAGTTCAGGTGAAGGCCAAAAAGAGGCTATACATCTAAACTGGGTCAGGAGAGACTGTTGGAATCGAACCTTTCACTGGAGAGGAACAGGCCCATGTTGAATTACCAGAATAGGAAATGAAAATGGTGCATCCAGAGGAGAACAGTCTGTTTTCAAAACTCAAATAAATAATATTTTACCAAATACTAATATGTATGCATATATATTATTTATTAAAAATATTTTCACTTGACCTTAAAATTAAATTATCAAGATGTACAAGAGATGTAGAAGCCAACATATGTCACAGTATCTATGTATTTATTATAATAGAATCATAAAGTAAGACTAGAGCATGGAAGGAGAGAAAAACAACAAATTGGCATGGGGGCATCAGTAGCTGCCTTATAAAAAGTCACGTCATTGGTTTTGTTTTAGCCCTGGATTGTCTTCTGTGTTTAGTGGAAGTTCTTAATGTTGCATTGTCTCCTTCAGGCAGTATTGTTTTTCCTTGGAAGTCTCCCACTGAAGTACTTGCCAGTACCTGTTCTGCTTAGCTTCCAAAACTGGATGAGATTTGGTGTGTTCAGAGTGGTATAGTGGGAACAACATGAAAATGTAAAATGTTTCAACCGAGTGTAGTGTCATAAGGATAGTAGCATTGACATTGATCTAAAAGTTGGGGGAGTTCAGTTCTTGGCTTGATGTATATGTATTCCTGCATATGACAATGTAAAAAAACATATTTTAATAACTTTGTAACAGGTTTTTAAAATATGTAGCTACTGAACAAAATTGTAGCAAAGGCTAGTAGATAGGTTGTAACAAAATCTTGTTTGTTTTTTTGATAAAAAATACAGTATATCAAATGTCTGAAGTGATATGTATGTTGAATGGATAATTATACTTCTTAAATGGTTAAGATCTATCAGTATAGCAGAATCAATTGGCTTGTTGAACAGCAGTGGCAGCAGGTGCAGTTGAAAGCCAGGCCAAACGGGAGATTTTCAATAACCTTTTAAAGTTCTACCATGAAACCTGCTTGGTGGGCCTCTTTGAGGAAGGCATTTAGCAGCTTCGGGGCCTGAGCAGAAAAAGGCGACACTCCATGCTCCTACAGAACAAAGAGCCCTTGGGAAATGCAGGTGCAGGTTGGTGATACAGAAGCTGTGAATAATGCATGTTAAGGTAGCAGCGCACCTATGCTCATTTACTTGCTTTGGGAGTTGTAGACCCAACAACATCAGAAGGCCTGCAAGTTGCCACTTTGGGGCTAGCAGAGGCTGTACCATAGTCAGGCCAAACATCACACTAAACCATGGCTTCTGCTAACTGTAGTTTAGATCCCAAAGCATCTTTTGAACTTTGGGATCTCTAATGGAAAAGCTATGGTGAAGTCAGCCATGGAACACCTCAATCTCCAGAGGCTTTGGTCTATCCAAAAATGTCTGCTGTGTTCTTTTTGGTAGGGCAGGCGTGTGGAAGGACTTATTTGCCGGAATCCCTCTCTCTATGGCCTATCAAAACGACGAAGAAAAAAAATCTGATGAAAATTCCCTGTCACTTTGGAAGCAAAGGGAGGGAATGTGTTTAGGTTTACCACAGGAGTAGTCTGTTCCTTCCAGCTGGGATCTGGGAGGGCTGTCCATCAGGAAAATGCATACCCTCTCATTCTCCCAACCACAATTCCATTTGCCACTCGCTAAATGTTGGTTTCAATTTGCCAAATGACGAGATTTATTTATTTGGCCATACTTGATTTTTACTTATCAGCTGAAAAACTGTGTACACACCTTTTATGGCTGCTGCTGAGTCCCAGGTTAACCTCCACATTAAATAAAATGTCACTAGAACAGAAAACTGATGGTTTATATAATCAGCATTGTAAAATCTGGCTGCCCTGAGATATCTCTTTTCCTTTCTGCAAGTCCGGCGTTCCAACCGGAGTGGGATTGGAGGGGTAAGAGCTGCTGTTGAGGTTTCCTGGGTAACTGTGAGGGGCCAGGAAAGGATATCCAGAATCATATGTCAGCTTCTGAAGCTGGAGCTTTGTTAATGACCTTGGAGGAGGATTTCCACTCCTTCTGAGAGCTGCTCCCTTTCATGGCTGCTGTATTGTGGGATTACAGGCTTAATCCTGGCCCCTATCCTTTCATTATTTGAGTTTGCAGGTGGGTATATTTTTGCTTCTGACGTCTTGCCTAACCCAAGTTGGTGTGTCCTACTTGAAACCATGGCTTTCTGTGTCTCATTGGTTTGATAGCAAGCCATGGTTTGTTAATTCAGGCATCCTCCTGTTAAGGTCCCCGTATTGTGGCTTGGCATGAACTAAGCTAACGAGTTTGACAGGACACTTACGGTACCCAAAAGCAGCTACTCCAGCAGTTTATTTATTTATCGGACTTCTATCCCACCCATGCCGTATATGTGTGTTCTGAGAGGTATTCCTGGATAGAGCAGCACCACAATGCTTAAAAATAGTGATGTGTAAAGCCTGAAAGGGGACCATCTGTTTTTAGTTAAATTTTGCAGGATTCATTTCCATTTAAAATCCTGTCAGAGTATTTGAAGCTTTGATCAGTTCTTTTTTCCCCCTGCCATTTCTTGCAGCATTGTTTATTTACATGTCCTGAATATTTTTATGTTTATGTTTTTTCCCCTGCTTGAAGATATCCTACCGTGTTTTTTTTCCCTAGCGCCTGGAAAATTCAGTGGTTTTATGCATGTGTGTTCAGTCCAGATTAATTTGACAAGTATTAGTGTGTGAGTACAAGAGAT